CATTCAGTGATAGATTGGGAGGCTACCTATGGCCTAGTGAGTAGAGAAATTGGTTATGTCATTTCATGTGCACCATTGATATCCTAAGTCATCACTATTCAGAGAACGCCTATTTTCTACCACACTAATTTGACTCCTACATTTATTTAACATTACCCCATCAAGACCAACACTTTACTTTTGTCAGACGTGACCCATTAATTTGCTAATTCCCAGATATGTCAGTGGCAGGGTCATATATATCATCAAGATTTACTCTCAAATATCTGCAAGAATAGTTGTGTCTTGTGGCACCCGGGTGGTTCAGCTGGTGAAGCATCTGACTCTTGATCTCATCTCAGGTAATGATCTCATGATTCATGAGATGGAGTCCCGCATCAGGCTTTGTGCTAACAAAAGGAGCCTGCTTGGGATTCTCTCTGTCTCTCTGTCTCTCTGTCTCTCTCTCTGTCTCTCTCTCTCTCTCTCTCTCTCTCAAAATAAATAAACATTTAAAAAAAGAATAACTTGTGTCAAGAAGTAACATCTTACCATCAGTCCATGAGCTGTATGTACCGCATCTATGAAGCCTGTGTAACCTAGGGCAACGGAATTGGCTTCACACATCCAGCTCTCTAATAACTCAGTGGCCTTGGCTAAATTATTTAGTTTTCCATTTAGACTAAATCATCACTAAGGTTTCTTCTAGCTGTTCCTTTCGTTATAGGAAACCATGTGCCGAGGGCCATGAGGCAGATCACATGCGATCTGATCCCATTCTGTGGTAAATGAAATAAGGATTAGAAGCATATTCTTCTCATTGATAATCCCCCTGAAGTTGACAATAATAATTGTCATGTAGCATTTCATAGAAACACAGCAACGGCAAACATCTGCAGAGTTAACTTGAGGTTAACTTGGGGTTAAGTGGGGTTTAGGACAACAGCTCTTCTTTCTGGATTTTCCAAGGTCAGTAATCAACTCCACCCCATCCCTCCCTTGATTAAAATATCCCACCTACATACTCCCAAACCACCTATCATTCAATCTTAGTATTAGTTGCCTGCAGTATAATATTTTATTTCCAGCTTTTTTATTGTGATCTGGTAAACATAACATAAAATTTACCATCTTGGGGCACCTGCGTGATTCAGTCGGTTGAGTGTGCGACTTTTGATTTTGGCTCGAGCCCTCTGTCGGGCTCTGCGCTGAGCACAGGGATTCATTCTCTGTCTCTTTCTGCCCCTCTCCTTGATGTTCTCTCTCTCTCTCTCTCTCTCTCTCTCTCTCTCTCTCTCTCTCAAATAAAAAAAATACCATCTTAAGCATTTTTAAGGGTGCAGTATAGTGTGTATTACATACATTAATAGTGTTGTGCAACCATCACCACCATCCATCCCCAGAACTCTTTTCATCTTGTAAAACTGAAAATTTATATCCTTAAAACACTAACTCCCCGTTTTCCCTACCTGCCCCCCAGCTTCTGAAAACCAGTATTCTGCTTTGGTTCTCCATGAATTTGGCTCCTATAAGTACCTTATATAAGTGGAAAAATGCACTATTTGTTTTTTTTCTGACTGGCTTATTTCAATGAGCATAATTATCTCAAGTTTCATTCATGTGGTAGCATACAGTAGAACTTCTCTTTTTAAGGCTGAATAACATTCCACTGTATGTTTACACCATGTTTTGCTTATCCATTAGTCTGTCAATGGACACTTGGGCGGCTTTTGCATTTTAACTGTTGTGAATAATACCATTATGAAAATTAATGTACATATATCTCTTTGAGACCTTGATTTCAGTTATTTTGGATATATACCCAGAAATGGAATTGCTGGATCATATAGTAATTTTATGTTTAAATCTTTAAGGAATCACCATCCTGTTTTCTACAATGGCTGTACCATTTTATATTCCTACCAACAATACACAAGGATTCTAATTTTTCCACATCCTTGCCAATGCTTTTTGTTTTCTGTTTTTTAATGGGTATGAGGTAATATGTCATTGTGGTTTTGATTTTGCATTTCCCTAATGATTAGGGGTGTTTAACATATTTTCATGTGCTTATTGGCCATTTGTATATCTTCTTTGGAGAAAAGTCATTTGCCCATTTTTGAATTGGGTTGTTTTTATTTACTTGTTGAATTTTAAGAGTTCTCTATGTATTCCAGATATTAATTCCTTATCAGATATGATTTGAAAATATGTTTTTCCTGTTCTGTGGGTTGCCTTATTATTCTGGTGATATCGTTTTTTAATATACTTCTTTTTAAAATTTCATGAAGTCTACTTTGTCTATTTTTGTTGTTGTTGCCTACACTTTGGTGCCATATATATGATATCATTGTCAAATCCAATGCTATGAAATTTTCCTCTATGTTTTTTTTTTTAAGAGTTCTAAGTTTTACATTTAGGTCTTTGATTTTTAGTGTTTGTTTTGTTTTGTTTAGGATATTAGGTAAGGTTCCAGCTTCATTCTTGCTGTACAATTTTTAAGTTATATTTTTTCTTCTAGATCTTTCTATGAACTCTTCACCAGCAGGAAACATTTTTGTGGGTTTTTCCCAATGTAAAAAAATTATCTCTGCCTACCTTCTAAAAATCTCCCTTGTTTTCCATATCACCTCTCGTTAATGACAGACTTTCTGTTACTACACATACCATTGACTGAGTGGAGCCAGACATTCCACAGCTCATAAGTGTGTTCTCTCTGAGTTTCCATTCCTGAAGGAGAGAATCTGATTAGCATAAACCAACTTTCCAAATCAGGCTCCCCAGGGCTCTGCATTTGATACTTTTGGACACCTATCTATTATTCCTGGTCCAATCATCTGTGTTGGAGATGGAAAGGAGAATAGACATCACCTTCAGTCATTTAAAACACCGTTTACACACTGCATACCATAGTTTCTGGTAATTAGAGAGAATAATGAGATTGCATTACAGGCGACCTACACTATGGCCTTCAGAAATGGTTGGCCCATCAAAAACAGAGCACATTAACTAATGGGATTAAATTAAAGAACTGGGAAGAGATAGTTTTATTTTCTTACGGTGTTTTGTCTCCCTTTGGTACCAAAGTGAGTTTGGAAGTACTCTCCTTCATACTCTATTTTTTGGAAAAGATTGGGAAAATTGATATTAATTCTTTAAATATTTGGTAGAAATCACCTGTGAAGCCATCTGGTCTTGAGCTTTACTTTAGGGGGAGACTTTTGATTACTGCTTCAATGTATGTTATCGATCTGTTCATGCTTTCTATTCTTGTTTCAGTCTTAGCACACTGTATATTTTTAAGAATTTATTCATTTCTTCCAGATTGTCCCATTTTGGCATATAATTAATCATAATCATCCTTTTTAATTGTTTTTTTTATTTCTGTGGCATCCTTTGAAATGTCTCCTCTATTTCTCATTTTATTTATTTCAGTCTTTTCTCTTCTTTGCTTGGTTATTCTAGGTAAGGGTTTGTCAACTTTTGTTTATATGGAAAAAAAAACTCTTAGTGTCATAGATTTTTCTGTTGTTTTTCAATTTTTTTTTTTTTTAATTTCTGCTCTAATCTTTACTGTTTTCTCCTGTTCACTAACTTTGGGCTTAGTTTGTCCTTCCTCTTCTAGTTTCTTGAGGTATTGGAGATCTTTGTTTTTTAAAGTAGGCATTTATCACTAGGAACTTCTCTACTCGTACTACTTTTCCTGTACTTCATAAGTTTTAGTATGTTGCATTTTGTTTCTGTTTGTCTCAAAATATTTTCTAATTTCTCTCTCAATTTTCTTGTTTGATCCCATGGTTGTTCAATAGTGTGTTGTTTAATCTCCCATTGTCCTTTTTATGCTTTTTTTTCTGGTTTTATTTTGTCATGGTTGGAAAAGATACTTGGAATTATTTGTCTTCTTGAATTTATTAAAACTTGTTTTGTGATATAGCATGGATTCTATCCTGAAGAACTTCCCATATGCACTAGAGAAAATGTGTATTCTGCTGCCATTAGATGGGATGTAATGTAGATGTATGTTAAGTTCATTTGGTCTATATTGCTAAGGTCTGCTGTTTCTTCATTGATTTTCTGTCTGAATGATCTATCCATTATTGAAAATGGGATAGTGAAGTCTCCTACTATTAATGTATGGCTATTTCTCCCTTCAGATTTGTCAGTGTTTGCTTTACATACTCAAGCACTCTGATACGTTGGGTGCAAATATGCTTATAATTGTGATATCATCCTGGTAAATTGACCCTATTGTTATTATATAATGACTTTCTTTGTCTCTTAAGATAGTTTTGACTTAAACTCTATTTTGTTCTGCATTTGCAACAACGCAGATGAACCTGGAGGACATTATGCTAAGTGAAATAAGCCAGACACAGATAGACAAATACCATATGATACCAATTATGTGAGAAATATAAAATAGTCAAATTCATAAAAATAGAGAGTACAATGGTTGTTGCCAGGAGATGGGAGGAAGGAGAAATCAGGATGTAGTAGACAAAGGGAACAAAGTTTTAGTTAGGCAGGATGAATAAGTCCTGGAGATTTACCATCCAGCATAGTTCCTATAGTTACTGCATTATATTCTTTAAAATTTGCTAAGAATGTAGATATTATGTGTTCCTATCCCAAAATAACAAATAATAGCAAGAAAAAGAAGGAGGAGGAGAAGGTGGGAGGAAACTTTTGGAGTTTGATGGCTATTTTATGGCATAGATTATTGGTGATAGTTTCATGGCTATATACTTATCTCCAAACTCATTAAGATGCCTGCATTAAATATGTACAGCTTTTGTGTGTCACTTACACCTCAGTGAAATGATTTTTGAAACAAATCATTTTTAAAACGACAAGGTACATATGTTACCTTCCCTCAGGCAGTATATAGTCTAGCTTTAAATTTAGCAACTACATCTCTCTTTTAGTACTAAAGGCAGGGATTCCTTCAGAAGTTAGTGAGGGGTCAGAAATATTTCTGGTTCAATGTTAACTTGAATAATTTTCGTTTGCTTTCCCCATAGGAATCTAAAAATGGGCTGCATTTCAAGTCTCGACTGAAAATTTCCAGCCAGTATCTAGCATCACAAAACTTGAAACAGACTGGACTGCAGTGCTTGTGGGAAGAATAACCCTGGGACCACCTGGCCTAACAGGGAAGCTTCAGTGAAAGCTTGGTACTGAACTGCTACTTATAGAGCACACCCATTTAAAAAGACACTAGAGACAAAGAACAACGCTCAACAGGACACATAACTCAGAATCTCAGAAGGTGAGAGAGAACCACAGGGACCCGTATTTTATTGAGAAATGTCTCAAAGTTGGAGGAAGACCAGGAAGCCAGCAGGTAGATCCTTCATCCCTCTGTCACCAACACCAACTAGTTTATATATAGATGGAGCATTTGGTATTTTTGATGCCTGGCTTGCACTACAGAATTCTTGTGTGTTTTATATCATGTCCATGAATTCATTTTGTAGTTAAGAAAACTAAGGGACACAGAAGGAAAGTGAATTGCAAAATACCCAAGTCATTACGTCAACTTATATGGGAATGAGATTAAAAACCCCATGCCCTTTCCACTAGAGTACTTTGTCCTGTTGATTTTCCATAGGTCCAAGGACTGATTGACTGACTGACTGACTAACTAACTAACTAAATAAATCCCTTTTTCGAGCTATTTGCTTAGTAGTCAGACCTATGCTTGGACTAAGAAACACAATATTTTTGGTTTCTTGGAGTTAAGAAACCAGGTACTTGTCTTTTGTTTCCGGTCAAGCAGTTCATTTCTCTGGGAGAATTCTGGAGTCAAATTCCATCTAAAATATTATTAACTTACCAGTTGGTTCTGAAAAATAAATTCTTAAGCAACTTGACTCAGAGCATGTTCTCATGACAGTTTGCTGCTCCCCGACCCAAGGTGGTTACATACTTAAATTCCTGGTGCCCATGAACTAAAATGCATGCTCCCACTTCTCTTCAGTCCAGGTCTTTATTGAGCCGTGTGTCACAAAAATGGATATTTTATTCCCCAACAACTTGAGCCAGTAAATGAAATTCTGGATTTTTTTGTCTTTTTTCTTACACAAGCCCTTCCTTTGCTCTTGTAGTTTTGTCAGTCTCTGGCACTAAATTCTTTCAGGCTTTCTCTCTACTGTCATAGGAACTAAAGAAAGAGCTTCTTGTAGAGCTGAATTTCTCCACGTGTTGGAATGCTCCGCAGTCATTCCCTCTTTCATTCTAACCCTAGATGTAAATACACAAGTATTTTTCTTGTCATTTATCAAATACTAATCCAACTTGGGAATATCTGATAACATGTTTGCAGAGAAAATGATTAAAACTTAAATGATAGCTTGAATAGTACGAATACATTGGAATGTACGATCATGTCACATTTAGCGAGCTGTATAAATGTGTATCTAGGTTGAATTTGGAAGTAAAAATGTTTCAACAATCCTTTCTTCAATTACAGAGTCTTCCTGTTTTGGTTTGGTTTGGTTTGATTTGGTTTTTTCAAGACGTAATAAAACCAATTAAGCATAGATTCTGTTACAGTGTTTAAAAATGTGCTGGCCATTCACTGTCTTTTAAGCCATTAATCCTTCTCTCTTTTACGGGGGCTTGTAAGGTCATGGAGAGGGAGATATCTGAGGTATCAGATGCTGAAAACAGTCAGACAAAGTTTCTTCTTTTAATATACCTATAGACCATCCTGAACCTTCTGTAGTAGCCATGGGAGACATCAGCCTCGAATTCTGAGACTGGATTTTTTATTCCAGCATCCAGGAAGCACCCATTCATTTAGGGAAGAATGATTACAGGTCACAAACATTTTTCCTCAACTGTGCCACAGAATGAGAAGTGTTAGTAGTCAACAGCAAAACGGCCTTACCAGAAATGCATGGAAATAGCATTCTAAACAAGGAAACCATAACTTTCACTTTATAGTCAGGAACAAGAAAAGGATGTTTATTTTCATCATTGTTACTATGTATTATACTTATTTACAAAAGTTAAAGATCATGAAAATGGGTTTTTAGGGGGAGAGGGGTGGGGAAGAGACATATAGAAAGAGAGAGGGTCTGAAGCAGCCCTCATGCTCAGCACAGAGCCTGACATGGGGCTCAGTCCCATGATCCTGGGATCGTGACCTGGGCCAAAATCAAGAGTTGGATGTTCGACAAACTGAGCCACTCAGGAACCCTGAGAATGAGATTTAAATGGCAGTTTTACAGATATAACTGGCATTTCTATGATTGTATATGTATAGAAGATTTTCTAGTCTACAAACTACTTGCAAGGAGAATTTCATGGCTAGATACAAGATCAATATAAAATAACCAAATAGCTGTCAATATTTCAGTAAATCAATAAGAAATATAATCATAAAAAGCATATCATTCATAACAGTAACAAAGTTATAAAAATACGTAAGGATACGCATATCAAAAAATGCGCACGACCTTTGTAAAAAACAGCACATAATGTGACTAGAGGGCATGAAACCGTATCTGAATATGTGGAAGGAGAGAATGCTCATGGATTGGTAGACTTGATATTTGAAATATTTTAATCTTTTCAAATTAACCCGAGAATACTGTACAATTCAATTAAAAAATCTAAAAAGGAATTTTTCAAGTACTCGAAAAGCTAACTCAAAAATTTGTATGGGATACTAAAATGTGAAGACCAGCCAAGAAGATTTTGAAAAGAAAAACAAAAAACAGTAAGGGAATGCTTGCTGTATCAGATATGAAAATGTATCATAAAACTAGATGTACTAAATATGTATAATATCTATGCATAAGTATACAAATATATCCCTGGACCAAAGCAGGTAGTCCACAATTAGATACAATATATGTGGAAATTTGAAATTTGAAAATGATGGCATTACAAATTACTAAGAAGAAAGCCCTAGTCAGTAAGGCTGTTAGAACAATTGGTCAATTGATGGGAGATAAAATCTAATTTTATGAGGTTTTGTTTTTTTTTTTTTTACAAAGACAAAAATAAATTCCAGTTAGTTCTAAATCGAAAAATAAGGAAACCAAAACAAGTAAGAAAAATAAAACCATGAAATTATTATGAAGAAAATATGGGATATCCACAACATGGATCCATAAGGAGAAGACTGATAACTTTTTCATTCTTAATCATCAGATACATTTGATGGTACCAAAATATAAACACCTTTTGTAACAAAATATGCCATCAATAAAGTGAAAATATAAGGGACAATCTGGGGAAAAATATCTACATCATATAAAACAGAGGTAAAATAGTGTGGGTATATAAATTTAATAAATTTATGTTGGTTAATTTATATAAAAGGCATACAAACTAATAAATATGTAAATACACAGAGAATAAAGTATACATATGAGGGGCGCGTGGGTGGCACAGTCGGTTAAGCGTCCCACTTCAGCCAGGTCACGATCTCGCGGTCCGTGATTTCGAGCCCCGCGTCAGGCTCTGGGCTGATGGCTCAGAGCCTGGAGCCTGTTTCTGATTCTGTGTCTCCCTCTCTCTCTGCCCCTCCCCTGTTCATGCTCTGTCTCTCTGTGTCACAAAAATAAATAAACGTTGAAAAAAAATTTTTTTTAAATAAAAAAAAAAATAAAGTATACATATGAAGGCAAAGAACAGAAGACATAACAAAAATGTCAAAAAGAATTTTTATCCTAACTGATTACTAAGGAAATTCAAGAACAAGAAAAAGCATCACGTCACAAATAAACATCTGCAAAAAAATGGAAAATAAATGAAGTTTTGTGGAAATGAATCCATGCTATGGAATGCTATGAAGCAGTGTTAAAGAGTGAAATAGTTCCATACATACAGACATGAGAAGATCGCAGTGGCAAAGAATTTAATCCAAAACAGCTCAGATTCGATATATTCTGGATGACTTTCTTTTTCTACCATGTTATGCTGGAAGTCTGAACAAAAAAAGGCAGGATCTCAGAGGAGGGACTTTAGAGAACTGCAGAAGATAGGACCCTATAGCCAATTGCTAAAATATGAGTGTTTGGCAGATAGAAATGTGGTGAATGAGACTTATAGGAAGAAGCCATACTCTGAATCCAAGGTCCTTGCTATTGCTTCCCTGGTCTTCCCTGTGAGTCCTGTCGGATCATATGAAACCAGTCCCCAACCAGCGTCCTCTGCCAGCTTATGCTTCTTTATGCCTTCTTGCCTTGTATCCGTTTCCCTCCACTAAGTGAATCACTCTGTTCTCTGTGAGTTTCTCTTCCTATTTGCCTGGCTAGTTGCTTCCATACTTAGCTAGGGCACCACTGTCTTCATAAAACCTTTCCTGATCCTCACCATCTCTCTCTGAACTTTCTTAGTTCCTCACACTTCTTTTCCCATTGAATTTGTTGTAATGTTTGAGATTCAGAATCAAAATGGAGTAAACAGATTTATTTTTTTTTTTGTTAAAGTCAGTAAATATAATAAAAATGAATTGAACTCTCCATGCAGCATGTGCATGGGAGTGTGTTTCAGTGAATAAATTGTAGAAAGTAAAATACCAATGAAAGAATCTGAACAACTCTGTAAAACTTATGTTAATTATTCAAATGATGCCATGTTGAAATTAGTATAGGATGTTATTTAGCATCTAACTTCCCACTTGAAGTCCACATAAAGGCACATTTCCTTGCACATAGGTGTTGTAAAGATGTTTTTTCCCCTCTTCTGGAAATCCTGGTAGGCTGCTAATGTCTCTGCCTCTTGTTACATTTACAAATGTCAAAACAAAAGAAAGTAAGTAAATTTATAAGGTAAAACTTCAGTGTCAAGCACAACAATTTTAAAAATATAGATGTTCTCCCTTGGGCATTAGATTGTAAAATTGAGGATGAAAATGTCCTGCAAGTTTAAAATAAATGACAAGCAGAATCAGAACATTTTTTTCCTCATATCATCTATACTTGAAAAGAAGTGAAATCTATTTCTGAATTTATGAAGAAAGGAAAGCGATGTAAATTTGATCATCAGTGGAGAAAAGTATTCATGCATAATAACACATGCACTATATCTAATATAATTATTCATAGTGTCGTATTGTCATTTAATAAGGAATGTTGGGGAGCAAGAATTTCCTGTCTCCTTCTAGGTCCTTCTCGCTGGACTAAGAATCAAATTGACATGAGACAGATGAAGAGGAGAAAGTCAAATTTAATAGCATACACACAGGGAATCCACACAGACATGGAAATTTGACAGGGAAAATGAGGTATATACGTCATTCTGAGCTAAGGAGAAGGGAGTAGAAGCCTGGGACTTCAAAGGGAAGAAATGCAAATCACAGCAAAATGAAAAAGAGTTAATGTTTTAGTGAACAAATGTTTACTGGGCCACTCAAGAAACCATGGGACAAAGAGAGGACTTTGATCAAAGTGGCCGTTTTGGGCTCCTCTCTATCCAGCCACCTGGTTCCTATCATAATGTGGCTAATCTAAGGTGATAATTCTTCCTGGAGCAGGCCCTCTATCTAAATTATTTTTAGGCAGTTGTTGGGGAGGAGCTTTTCCTGAATCCGTTGGGTTTTGATTGCTTTTTAACTCAAAATGATCTTGATACCAAAATGGTCCATCTTGGGGCAGCCTGCCCTTAGTCCTTACAGGAATTTCATAACCAAGCAAAAGGACTGGTTACTCCCTACACCCTCATGCCCTTTTTATAAGAAACAGAACAAAAATCACATCTGCAACTACCAGGAAATAGCCACCAGTTGCTGAAGCATAACCACCTTGTCTAGCTGTAGAGGTTGGATTGCTGCACACAGATCGCATTTTGGGCCTGTCCTGTAATAGCTTAACACACTTGGGTTTGCTTAATCTGTCAGAGGTTTCGGTATACCTTTTAGGTGCCTCAATTAATACATCACTAAGATAGAAACCTTTCAGTCCAGACAGATAGGAAATTAACATGTTGCTAAATGAATTTACATCCATAGTTGAGAAAAAAAAATCCACAACAGTGAGATGAAAGAGATATATTGATTCGTGTTGTTAAAGTGGATTTCAATGTACAAAATACTAACTCAACAAAAATCAATAATTCCTTTCACTTCACAGTGTGCCATTAAAAACATCATTCACTTTTTCAAGGATTAGATGTTTAATTCAAGACAGGTCCCTAATAGTCACTGCCTTAGTTAAGAGTATACAATACAAGTTGGCAGAAAAAAGAGAGGGAGATTATGAGCAATGGTGATGTTCCTGCAACCTCAGATCCATTCATTAGGCTTATTCTGATAGTGGGGGGAATAAATTAAGACTACTAAAAGCTAATATTTTCTTTCATTCCCAAGTTCCAAGCTGTGTGAAAGGGTCAACCCTTAATATGAAATGAACTTGTCAATTTTAGTTTCAACTGTGAGGGACAGCTAATGTCCTTTAGGCAAAAGAGTTTTCTTTTATTATTCGACCAATGAAAGATTCAAGAATTTGATCGCCTCTACCTCCCTGAGAGTTTCACTCACTTTATGAAAAAACTCACCACCCAGCTGTTTCTGGTCTCATCTGTCAAAGAAATATACCCATTGCCTAACTCATGGAATACTGTAGAACAAGAGTAAATAAGGCAGTTTTTCTTAAAAGGCAGTGTGCAAATACAGCTTGTTAATAGAGAAGTTCTTTAATGTCACTCATAATTATATGTGTGCATTATCAGAAATGGCTACTTTACTTTCACAATATATCTGAAATGTCACTTAGTACTAAATATGAAATATAATTGAGAGTGATTATTTTCTGTATTTATCCAAGCAAAAGAATAAATCGTCCATTCTTTAAAATTGTCACAATTTCACAAATTTGAAAACACATGGTCTGTTTTTTTCCCTGCCAACTCTGGTACCTTTCTTTAAAGAATTTAAAAGGACGATCTAATCACCCTTAAAATAAATGTGTTTTATTTTTATCTACTCTACAATTTAAAAATTCTTTCAATTTTTCTCCTGCAAGGAAAGTTTAATGAGGCATATTTGCTTGTTTCCATGGTATTTCAAAAGAGGATTACTAGCTGAAGGCAAGAAGATGTATACCAAAAAAAGAAAAGAAAAGCAAGCAAGAAAGAAGAAATAACAGTGCTTGCAATAAGAGAAACTTTACTTTTTAAATATATTCCTCAGAGTAGTAGACATTTATAATCTGTAAAACAATGCTAATCATTTTGAATATTATTTAAAAATGAGATTTTCTTGGAAAAAAGAAAAAAGAATGTAACAAGAGTTTCATCATATAATACAATGTCACTACAAAATCTGAAAATACCCCCTGTTACTAACGGACCAAAATCCAGTACCATATAAACTGCTGTGTGTGTAGAGAAAACAAGAATAAAGTCCAGCTTGCATTGTCTTTGACTTGATAGCTAGTATGCTCAGCTTTCTTGTATAACAGACATTGTAAATACCATGGTCTATTCATTTTGAACTCTGACATTTGCAAATCCAATCACACTTGCCCGAGATTGTCCTAGGAGCAATCAACCAACATAAACTGTATAAGTCAGGCTCTTTTATCTTCAGAGTCTGGTGATTTTCTTTATAATTTTGTTTTATAGGTATTTTGATGAGGTCTTAAATTTAAAATACAAACAACTAATCCAAACATTTGTATAACAACTCATGCAGGATATTACAATATCGCATTTATAACTTGTGATTAATATTATCTATTGATATCTCCCATCTGTCTTTAACACATGTAAAATTGGGTAAGCGATCATGTAGAAGTAGGAGAACCACTATTGAACTCACTCACTTATGTCTGACATCATAGATCCTATTTTAGTTTCACTGAGAAAGGGATACGTTTTCTCATGAGAAATGTTGTTGAAGACCATTCAGCCTATTGACAAGGGATAAAAGACCAACAAAACGAAAAAGAGTATAAGCCATTAGAAAATGTCAATTTTATGAGGCAATGTATTGTAGTAGAAAGAACCCTAAATTGAACTTAAAAGGTGTCAATTTCTAATCTTAAATCTGCCACTGAGTACAAGTACAAAGTCTTGAGTTTCAGTTGCCTCGTTTGTAAAATGGTGGTAGACTGGATGGATGGATTGGATGATGTCTAAAATACCTTTAAATTCGGGCTAATATAAATTGTGGGGGTGGGAGGCAAAGGGAAGGAGTCAGTAGGCTTAATCTCTCTGGTCATTGAGTAGCTGTGAGCTCAAAGGCTTGGAAAGAAAAAGGGCCCCAGAAGGAGGAGTGTTCCACAGAGAGTGGACTATTACACCTCAGTCTTTTCCTTGTGTGCAGTCAGACGCCTGCAGAATCATAAACACAGGAGCTAAAGACTAACTGGCCAACCACTTGGACCTTCTTGTCTGAGAAGACCCTTGTGGCAGCTGCAACACAACTGAGGGCCTCCTAAGAAGCTCAATTTACTCAAGGTAAGGCTACCATTGGGGTTGCTACAGAAAACCAGGCAAACCATAGTTAAAGTGGTAAAAACAAATTTCAATAAGAAACTATTACAATTGGGGAAAGGAGATGTCAATATAGAAATACGCTCAAGTGGGCATTTATGGTGAGGGGGTCTGTCAGTGGGGGTCAATGGGAAATCACTAAGAGGAGAGAGATCAAGGGGTGGAGGGATTCTTGCCAACCCGACCTAATGGGATTCTTGTGAAGGCAGGCCGTGGTAAAGACATCACCTGGGGCATATTCAATTACATGTCGAAGGTGATCAGATCAGATATCAGTGAGTCTCCCTAGAATGACTTACTAATATTCTTGTTACTGTGCAGGCCAAGCAAGGCTGGGGGGAGGGGGTTAAAGGTCAAGGCCTCTTGGAGAAGGGGGCTCCGCAGAGCCTGACTATAGGTTGGTCAGGAAAAGAGTCATTGTCAGGGACAAGCAGGGTACCCAGAAGGACACACAGAAGCACAAGAATCACTCAGGTGAGACGTCCTGATGAGGACAGTTCCACCTTCAGAATAGGAACCGAAATTGCTTTAAGAATAAAAGCAGAAAAAAAAAAAGTTAAGCAAACATGTGGGTCTATTAAAAATTATACTCAGTATATTAATGCTTTTTTCCCTAGAAGAAGAAACAAATTGTGGGTTTTACAGCTCTATTGATCATCCACATTTAAACAAGTGTCCTCATTAAAAATTCAGATTCCAGAAACAGCAGAGAAGACCAGTGCCCATTTTAATATTTCATTTACCTTTTTAAAAAAGGGCTAAGAGGGGCGCCTGGATGGCGCAGTCGTTTAAGCGTCCGACTTCAGCCAGGTCACGATCTCGCAGTCCGTGAGTTTGAGCCCCGCGTCAGGCTCTGGGCTGATGGCACAGAGCCTGGAGCCTGTTTCCGATTCTGTGTCTCCCTCTCTCTCTGCCCCTCCCCCGTTCATGCTCTGTCTCTCTCTGTCCCAAAAATAAATAAAAAACGTTGAAAAAAAAATTTTTTTTTAAAAAAAGGGCTAAGATTTCCTTGGTTAGTTGATATGTTCTGAGGAAAAAATAAAGAGAAACAGTTTCAACTAAAGTGTTAAATATTCTCTAATATCTAGAGGGAGCAACTTCTCGGCATGGGTTGAGCTGAATTTCAAAACCATTGTCATTCCTGAGACAACCTGTAGTTTTAAATGACTAGGCTGTCAGCCTTTTAGTTCTCTGCATTTGCCTTTTCTGCTATAGTGAATAGTAACAATTACATTGCAAACAGCATGTTATTTCCAACTGTTTTTTTGACAGAAATCTTTGTGTTACAAATATTGCAAACTTGAGTTCCTTTGCATGATTCATTTTTTATGTAAATCTTAAGGGCGGAGTTTTTCTTTAAGGCTTTAATAAAATAGGTCTTTAAAATAATATTGACCTACCTTTTCACATTAAAAAATACTTGATAAAATAGTCAAGCAGGGCTTATATAGATTTGGAAACAATTTTCCATATACAGTTGTTAGGTTCATGTGGCAAGACTTTGGAAGGCAGCTGTGTTCCCCACTATACCCCCAACGCACACTTACGGCAAGACTTTGGAATGGGTAGAATTCGCTGATGGGAGGAGGTAATGCCAGTTGGGAAAAGAAACCAGGGAAGTTATATATTCCTTTTTTCAAAGACTCGTTGCGGTGTTTCCATTCTTAAAAGGGATAGATTGATTTGTCTTAGATGTAACCAACTGAAAATATCATTTCGGAAAGAAGACAGAATTTAAGAAAGAAGAACGAATTTTTGTGTTATAAAGTGCAGCAAGCTTGGGAATAGCAGTGAGATGAGCCAGACCCTTGAAGATGTTTATCTGTCAAGCTGATTTAAACTTTTAGCAACTACTAAGCCTTTCAAGATCTAAGGAAAATCCAGTAGGATCAAAGCCTATGTTCTGATTTTTAAAAATATTCTTAAATATCTAAAACAGACTTTTCTTAACACAGAGGCATTGTTTAGAAATTGTCATATCTAGCATTTGTAATATACATGTAATAGTTTATTTACAGCAAATTGTAACATATATATGAATATGTTTATATGAATATATAAATGGAGAGATCAGATTGGATATGCTGCAAGATCTTTTCATTTTTAATATTTTGTAGTTTTAGGAAATGTTTAATTATGCACAAGGCATTGGTCTTTGCAAAGGAGGTAAGTGCATGATGCATACAAATATTTCAGCCACTAAGAGGAACTTAGTGTTCCCCTCAGATTGCCTAAGCTTTAGACAGATAAGGGACAATTACCAAACACAGATAGCTTGCTCATGTCGACCAACTTCCTCCGTGACATTGTCCAGTGAACCCTTTCCACTTTTCCCAGTGCTTAAAAACCTGCCTGCCTTTGTCCTAGCAGAGTTGCATTCAATCTCAATCCCTTAGCACACTACTCTTGAGTAAGGTCTTCCTTGCCTGTTTAATTCTGTCCAGTACAGTTTTTCTTTGATGCCCACAAGGAATACACAATGCAGGGGGGTAAAACTCATATGTACAGATAATTTAATACAAAACCAGACCCTTATGAATTAGTATAGGAAAAGTCACCAGACTTTCAAAAAAGAGAGATTTTGCTACAAACACTTACAATGAACATATAACCTATATTATTAAACTAAATTTTAATGCATCACAGTTAATTTATTTTTATTTCATTATATATACCTACATTGTTTCCAAAATGATTTGAAGTGACTGTCATGCCTTGTAATGATATTAGTGAATGTACATTGAATTCTGAGTGGTTAATAATTACCTAAAGTTAGAAAGATATTATGTCAACAGTTTCTGTCCTCGATGCTTATTGTAAACTTTTTTTTTTACCTTTAATTCTAATATCAAAATTTGGTCAATGTTTTAAAAATATCAACCCCCAGATGGTCCTAATTTGTCCTTTTCACTTTACCCTATGTATAATTGGTGGCTAGATCTTACTGTTTCTTAGGTAATCCTTTCCTTTACTCAACTATTGCCACTCCTGAGAGCCACAGCTATCTTATGTATGTAGTTTACTGTCAACATTACCATAATATACTATCCAACCGCATGTATTAATATCTAATAAAGACATAATAATAAGGATTTCAGGAAACACTTACCCAGGTAGATAAAGGATTGCAGATAACTTTGTTTCTGAAACCTACCCCAAATCCATTTATTGAAACAATAGAGGACTTTGAGAAACCCTCAGGCCAATCGATTTTTCAGCTAAGATAACCAAAGACTTCTTTAAAACCCTCAACTGGCTTTGTTAATCAGTTCCACACTATTAGGTCATTAACTATACTCAAACCTTGTCAGCAGCTTCCCAGACCACTAATAGACCTCCCCCCTTTTCTAGATGCCTGCCCCCAACCAGAACTTCATTAATATGCTGCCTATTTCTTCTCCCCTTTAAAAAGTAACTAAGAATCTTATGGAGGAAATGGTCCCTTATGCAACAGTCAGTAATAAACTTAGCTGTATCAGCAGTTTATGTTGATGGTCTTTTGGGGGAATCTGCAGTTAGTACCACTGAAAGACCAGGCCTTCATCAGTGCTTTCCTAACCGAATTCCTGTTGTAGCCCCTGAGATAATCTTCTGACTTCCAGCTTTTCAACTCCCCGGGATGTTATGTACATTCCAGCTAGACACCTTGCACAAGATATTGGGAGGACATCAGCGACTTGAAACCTGTCCCAAGTCCCCTTTTTAGATGTATTGTCTATCCTTTCTCAATATTCCAACTCAATTTTAACCAGCAGGGTCTATTCTATTTTCTCTCTGTCCTCCTAATTTTCTGAGTTTTCTGTACTATTTCCTCCCAATTCTTATTTGTATAAATACTACTCAAATTTCAAACTTAGCTGAATTCACTTTTCATCTAACAAATCATCCCTTCTGTTTTATGCTTACATTTTCTATGATTTGGATTTCTCTACCCTTTTTGAAAGTCATGTACAAATCATTCTTGTCACATAGTTGGCCCTTAATTTTCTCAATGTGTGTTGCACATTTTAGTTCTAACTGCTCAGAATGATTGGTTTCTTGTGTTGTCAGGCAGAATGGGAAGTCCAGTAGGCCCTAATTCCCCCACCCAGCCTGTGCCAGAAACATGGTTAGAGGATCTTAGTCTCCTGGAAGAAAAGAATTCAAGAATGGACTAGACAGTAGTTGAGCAGGGCAAGTAAAGAGTTTATGAAAGAGAGAGAGAACATCCCTCAAGATCTGAGACAGGGAGTGCTCCAGGGGGAGCTGTGCCCAGCATTTGGGTCTCTATCTATTATTGGCAGTTGTTAACTAAGTGGCGGAATATTTATTATTTGGGGAGGGGATTTCTTTGGAGCAGGGTTTCATGCTTTTTCTACCTTATTTGGTCAGGGTCTCCAAGCTTCTTTGTCTCAGGCCTATCTGGTTTGCCCTGGCTGATAAGGGGTTTAACTACCCCCCCCACCCCCTCTTTGTTGGTCCCCAGGCATCCTGGTAAATCCTAACTGCCTATTCTAACACTGGGAGGCATGAATTAGATTCTTTATTGCTTTTAAATTTTCCGTGACAAACTAACAAAGTACTTGGAAATGCCAAATGCATAGGTATATACCCAATCAATTTCCTGATCCGTTCCCACTTACACATTCAGTATCTTCCAGTTCTTTCCATCTTAGTCTAACTCTTGGTACCGACTATACAAAACATAGCTCATGATTGACCTCTAGTTCCAGCGATGTAGTCTTACCTACTCTGTTGGCAAGTTAATACTATCAAATCCGTGAATGATGCGGAAGTAGGTACCTTGTCTTATTGTGCTTCATTTTATTGTTCATCACAGATATTGTCTATTTTACAGATTGAAGGTCTGTGGTAACCCTGCATTGTGCAAGGCAGTCGGCACCATTTTTCCAACAGCATTTGTTCACTTCATGTATCTGTGTCACATTTTGGAAATTTGCACAGTATTTCAGACTTAAAAAAAA